TTCGAGTTTCACCTGTATATAGGTTTTAAGTGATCTGTTTTTTTGTGTTAAAAATAATACAATAAATGTGAACATTCAGTGAATTATACAGCTGTAAAATATGCAACCACATATATAACCTAGTGGTCTGTCACAATGTCCCCCTTACAAGCCATCAGCCCATTGGCTTTTGCCATTGATGGTCTGCAGTCACCATAGCAGATGGCTGGGATTTCTGGCTAGTTCATTGTTAAAGGTGCAGTGAAATAAAGCTCCTTTCTGTTATATTCCCTCCCCCATCTCTTTTTTCGCTTGGGGTTAATGTATGGGGTGAATGGAGGCTCTAGGTCCCCCTTAGTGGGCCTACTGCTGGGGTTAAGACTAACTGTACTTTTGGGGCATCTGCCCATTTAAGTGATGGCAGTATGACAGCAAAAGGGATTCTGGTGTTGACATATAGTGTTCTTTGAGACCTCTGCCCGTTTAAGCCAGAAGGCAGTGAGATGGCGGAGTGTCATCTCACTGCCTTCTGGCTTTTAAGGATACACTTAAAATTGTGGATTCCCTCCTGTGGTGTCCAACACACCAGTATCTTTTTAACACACAAGCCAAAGCACTCCACAACAATTGTCCCTTAACTCTCCTATTTTGATGATTTTGTCTGTAAACAGAGGAGGCCTCCGCCTCAGCTATTAGTTTTCAACAACACTTTTTGCTGAGATATCCTATTATATTGCGCACATATTCAGTACAATGGGATATTGTGCCAAAAAGTGTTGATGAAAACTAATGGCTTAGGCGGATGCTTACTCTCTTTATAGACAAAATATATTTACTCCAATAAGTCATAACATTATAACCACCGGCCCAAAATTGAATAGGTCCCCCTTTTGCCTCTAAAACAGCCTGACCCGTCCAGGCATGGACTCCATTAGACCTCTGAAGGTATGCTGTAGTATCTGGCACCAAGCCATCAGTAGCAGATCCTTTAAGTCCTATAAGTTGTGAGATGGGGCCCCCATGAGTCAGACTTGTTTTTCCAGCACATCCCACAGATGCTCGATTGGATTGAGATTTGAACGAATTTGGAGGCCAAGTCAGCACCTCATGCTCATTGTTGTGTTCATCAAACCATTCTTGAACCATTTTCGCCGTGTGGCAGGGTGCATTATCCTGCTGAAAGAGGCCACTGCCATCAGGGAATACAGTTTCCATGAAGGGATGTACTTGGTCAGCAACAATGTTTAGGTAGGTGTTGCGTGTCAGAGTAACATCCACATGAATAGCAGGACCAAAGGATTTCCAGCAGAACATTGCCCAAAGCATCACACTGCCGGTTTGCCTTCTTTCCATAGTGCATCATGGTGCCATCTCTTCCTCAAGTAAGCAACACACACGCACCCGGCCATCCACATGATGTAAAAGTGACGATGGTCATGTACCCATTTGTAAGTGCTTTTGGCGATAGACAGGGGTCAGCATGGGCAACCTGACCAGTCTGTGGCCACACAGCCCTATACGCAACAATCTGTGAACAACCTGATTGGATGCAGGCATTGTTTAGGTATTTTGAGAGCCAGCAGGGCCAACTAGCAAGATACTGAAGCTTGGCCCAGTCAGAGAGTGCTCCATCCACACAGTTTAGCGTATATGGAGGAAATCTGTTGCACGTTTTCCATCTGACCATAGAAAATCTGACCATACCCGATTCTGGATCAGAATCTATAGACTACTCACCGCCTTGTTCCACAAGCATATACCTAGAAATCTTCAACACGCGCTTTTCCACTTGCCCATCCCAGAATTGCATAACTCGCAACGGGCGCTATCGCATTTTATTTTTCTTGCAGCCAAACTTACCCTGGCGGGCAACTGGAAAAAGCAACAGATCACATATATGGAATTCACCCGTAGGTTAGATAACATAATGCTGAATGAAAGGCTGACCAGCATCCTGGAGGATTCACAAACCAAGTTCTTACTCATCTGGGAACCTTGGATCCTCCACCAACACCCCAATATGGATCCGACTAGCTTCCGAGGTATATAACCACGCACAAGGATGTGGGACCGGGAGGGATAATGGGAATAGGGAGAAATGGTCCAGTGGGATGAGAACTGTTCGGGGGTCCAGCGGGGAGTCACCCGTTGGATCAAAAATGAACACTGATGCTGATGTTGATACTTCCCCTCCCCCAACCCCCCCTGATCTACCCCACCCTGTCTTCCCCTTTCCCGTCTTCGTTGATTGCCTTATCCTGACTCTCCATAACACCTCTGGCTACGTCATCCCTTAATGACCATAGAAAATATGTCACTAATACGCTTCTTAAAGTGTAAGTGAGAAAAAAAAAAGTTCTAATTGAATTCGATTTACTGTATTTTACTTTTTATTATGGTTAATGCCCCTTTTACATAGCACAGAGCGGGGAACATCAACTCTACTACTTCCTTGTTCAACTTTATTGCTTCTGGTTTGCTAATTGGACAGTGCTAATAATGCTGATTCATTGCCTGATAAGCAGGTTAGAAGCCAGTAAGGGACATAGGATGCTGTACTACTGAAACGGGCCGGATTTTCCACAAAGCCTCGGGGCAGCAGGGATGTGGAATTCCTATCTCCTGACGCCCAGGACATGCAGTTCTGGACACCGGGCAGGTGGTAGTTTTCTACATTAAGCCCCGCCTCGGGCAAGCAGGGCTAAATGTACAGTGGGGAAGCCACCGCTTGTTTTGTACAAGTGATCTCTGCGATGTTGCCGAGATCACTTGTATGCAGCCTGCATACAGGGGGGCGCATTGAGGAACCTGGCATTGAGAGAGTAAATCCGACCCTGACTACTGTAGCAATAACTTAACGTGTCACCTTCCAGACTATGTGGCAGATGAGTGATAAGGAAACCTGGCAGTTAAAGCAGTAAATATACACTTGTTGGTTTGGAACTCTGCTTTAACTTGCAGAGATAATGATTAAAAGTAGGGAATGAAAGCCAGCGTTTTAATAGATCTTAATTTTCATTAATCATCCTGAAAAAACATACAATTTAATAGCAAAGTAGATATAACTTTAATTCTAACGCTGGATGTATAGTATCTTTTCACGTTTGTAAAAGCAAATGCAAACTGAAATTATTACACAGGAGAAATATTTTGAGTTCAGTGTAATCTTTAAAGAATTCCAGGATTTTTCAAATTAATTCTTGCAGTGAGGCTACCCCCTCACTGCAAGAGTTAACTGCTCCTTTTGGTCTAGGGACAAAAATAAAGAATATATACTTACCCGATTCTTGGTCCTGCCTGGCTGTTAGACCAATCCCTACACCCTCTTCTGCCCTGGGCTTGGGTGGTCTAAGAACCCGTGACATCGTCACATCTAATGCAGGTCCATTGCATTAGCAGAGGAGGAGAGAGGTCATTGGTCACTGCTAAGAACCAAATATCAGGTAAGGTATATATTTATTTTCTATGTAAGCATGTTAAAGTGCTGCTAGGTGTAGTTTTATTTCTTTCTTTGCACCGAAATACCTTGTGATCCTGCCTGCTTTGCTTTTGGAATCTTACCACGCCAAGCAAGGAAGCTTGGCGTGGACACATTGTGGGGAAAGTACTTCCCCACTGTGTGTGAGGTCACAAACAGCAAGTCCACTTACTAAAATTACCAGCCCACCCACAATATGCATAATAAGGACCTTATGGAAGGCTGTGCCGTCGTGACTGCCAAATAAAACCACAAAAAAAGGTAATAAATGTTTATTTTGTACATAAATAAATGCAATAATTCCTTTATTACAATGTCCTTTAATTGCAGTGCATTCATATATAATTTAAGGCTGTTATGATAACACTGCATGTAAGCTCCCTTTAGTCCAGTGTCCACAATTTACCAAGCACTTCTACCTTTAGTTCTCTTTCTGCAGTTGAGTTAAGAGACAATGCTTAACGCAATTGGAGGGAGTCAGAGGAGGACAGCAGATGGGAGTGTTAAGAATTTAAATGTATTGCAGCTGATGAGATACTCAGAAATAATACTAAGTATGATTCAGTGGGAAGCCCCATTCACAAAAGTCATGCGAGACAGGTCCTCACTGAAACATACTTCATACAGATGTAACCTCTTTTAGATGTACACTATTTTGCCAAAAGTATTGGGGCACCCCTCCAAATCATTGGATTCGGGTGTTCCGTAAAATTTCCTTGCTACTAAATATTCCACGGTCAACTGTTAGTGGTATTATAACAAAGTGGAAGCAACTAGGAACAACAGCAACTCAGCCACCAAGTGGTAGGCCACGTAAAATGACAGAGCGGGGTCAGCACATGCTGAAGCACACAAGACTGGGATGCCATTAAAGTTCATGTGTGTGTAAAGGCAGGCGTCCCAATACATTTGGCAATATAGTGTATGTGCTGTCATGACTGAAATCTTGTTTTGATATACTGTAATTCTCAAATAAAAAAATAAAAATAACACATCCTGGGTGTTTTGAGCATAAACTCCACTCTTTTGTGGGATATTGTGATTTAGCATACTACCTAGTTGATTATGATTATTTTATAAAACTTCTGCTTTAGCTCAGTGACACCTGAACGGTATAGCTGAATGGTATACTGCATACTAATCTCTTATAAGACCTGGACATTTTAATCAATGACTCAGTTCAAATCTATGCAGTTGTATGTGGTGTATTACCAAACTCCTTCATGCAGCAGATGCCAAGGAGCCTTTATGTACTTTAAGATATTATTTCCCATTTTCCACCTCAACATTTTACTTTTTACAATAAATAAATAGTTTTATATTATGGAAGGATGGAAGGCTGCATGCAGCATAGGGTTTATTCTAGGCTGTGATAATTGCATTGACTTTAAGGATACCCAACACTATAGAAAGCTTTGTTACGTTGAGGATACCAGGGTTATCCCAACAGTTTCTGCATTTAAATCAAACCGAGGCAACAAACTTCTTTTTTTGTGGGGCGGGGGGTTCCTACTGGCCACTGAAGATACCCCTTGAAAATTTCACACAGAGGTCATTTTGAGATTGTAAGATATTCCTTGGAGGTAAGAGTGTACTGAATTTCCTAGAATGATCCCAGAATGTTTTCATGATACACATATTTAGTTCTTTTTGGTATCATTAAGAGCTCCTTGCAGATGTTGGCGAATTGTAACATATTTCTTTTGGACTTGTTGTACTTTCTCCCGTTCCTCTTTCTCCAAAATGAGCACAAAATTTTGCAATTCTGGCACCGAGAAGGCATCCCACTGTCAAAGGAGAAAACGGCACAAGTGAGGGTCTTGTTCTTGCCACTAAAGACTTATTTAATAACCCTTATTTATAGACATTACATATGTATATTAACATAAGATGCACCATTTTTGAATCCCCACATTGGACACCACACCCCTAAAATTGAATATATAGCCAACTAAGAAAAGGATGGGGCTTTTAAGGTGTCATGAAATGTCGAGATGTACAGATGCATAATATGCTAAGTACTTATTTAATATCATTTTCCTTAAAATATATGTATAAATTTCATCATTTTTTCAGAATGATCAAAACTTGATCTGTGATTCTGTACTGTGTCCAACCTTCTACGCGTTTCACCGAAACTTCATCAGGAAGTGTGGAGGTAGCCTATAGTATTCATATGGATAAGTAATCAATACATCAATATTTAACAATGTAATTTGCTAACCACTTACAAAACAAACAAATGAATACTCAAGAGGCTGGACACGGTACAGAATCGCGGATCAAGTTTTGATCATTCTGATAAATGATGAAATTGCTACATATATTTTAAGGAAAATTATATTAACCCCTTCGTGACTGACGACGTACAGTGTATGTCGCCAACATCGCGGCTGTTTAAACAGACTCCCGGCGACTTTTGCCGCCGGGACTCTGTTTAAACTTGTAGAGCCGACTGTCGGCTTTACAACAGAAGCGATCCTGGCGACTTACATTACTCCCCTTTCCCGCTCTCTGACCACAACCGTGTCAAATTTCACACTCACCCTGTCCCCATCCCTGAATCCACCTACACGGCACACTGTCACCCGGAGAAACCTTCGCCACCTCAACCCTTCTCTACTCTGCTACTGAATTACCTCGATGGCAAAATCTTACCCCTGCCCTGGCTACTTCTGTCTACAACAGCTCGCTCTCATCCTCCCTAGACACCTTGGCTCCCCTCACTACACGCAGACTTCGACCATGTCAATTACAACCGTGGCAAACAGAAGAAACCAGACATCTAAAAAAAAATAGCCGTGCTCTTGAATGACTAGGCTTCTGCTAAAATATAATATGCTTTCTCCTAAAATATAATTCCTTCCTCCGTGCTGCCAAACAGACTTCTTTTATCACTCTCATTAACACACTCTCATCCAAACCTCGTCAACTCTTTTTTACTTTTAACTCTCTACTATGTCATCCAGCTTTTCTCTGGCACCCACCTCACCACTTGCCCCCTGGACCCTGTTCCCTCACCACTACTTCGGTAACCCTCTTGCTCTATCCTACACTCTCTTACTCACATTTTTAATCTTTCGATCTCTACTGGCATCTTTCCCTCCCTTCTAAAACATGCGCTAGTCACCCCAATACCCAAAAAACCCACAATGGACCCTACCAACCTCAACAATCTCAGACCAATCTCCTTACTCCCATACATTTCCAAACTCCTAGAACGCCTTATCTACAGCCGCCTGACTTACAAAGCTATCCACAACTCTGCCCCCGGCTATATCTCAAACCTTGTCTCAAAGTATCATCCTAACCATCCCCTACGCTCTTCCAAAGACCTGCTTTCCAGCTCACTCATCAACTCCTCCCATGCTTGCCTCCAGGACTTTACTAGAGTCTCTCCCATCTTGCAAATATTTATCAAACAAGTATTTCTAGGATAGCATACACTAAAATTAAATTTAGTGCACAGAAACAGTATATAATACCCAATTGTTTAGTAAAATATAAACGACTGGGTCACGCCGGGTAAATAGATACCAAACATGTCAAGCCATCCCCCTCTCTCTCCCCCCTGTCCGTCTCTCTCCCACTCTGACTGCCTTTAGGCGATCCCTTGAGACTCATCTCTTCAGGGAAGCCCATCCAGCCTCAACCTAACTGTTCAACCATCACATTCTCAGACAATTCATCCCCACACAGCTACCTCCTCATGTATCACTTCCCCCTCCCTTTTAGATTGTAAGCCCTTAGGGGCAGGGCCCTACTTACCATCTTGTCTTGAATTGTATTGTGATTGTAGTGTCTTCCTTATATTGTGAAGTGCTGTATAAATTGTTGGTGCTATATAAATCCTGTATAATAATAATAATTATAATAATTACTCACCTGTACCTCTCCTGTTTCATTCTCCTTTAATACAAAACTCAGTACATTAGAGTCAGGACCAGCTAAAAGGCGCATATAAAGTGGATGTTCCATCACTGCTAGTTTCTGAAAAAGAACTAGTAAAACTATTAGTGTTAATACATGTGAATTGCTACAAAAACTGCATGTATATAGATGAGCACAAAACTTAATGTTTCTTTAATAAAGGAAAATTAATTAAAGTTTACCGTATGGCTGCGTAAGGAGCCCTTATTGAATCGCACGTTTCTGCCAACTTTTATATTTACTAGGGTCTCCCAACAGGCCTCTCCATCTCCATTATGGTTGCCGGGTATCAAAACCGTATTCAGCAGGACAGGAAGTGAGAGTAAATCTTTATAACAATGCCCTGGGTCGCAGTAAAAACTTACGTTCCAATTCTTCCCCACTGTCTAAAACTTTGGCTTCACATGCACTTTAAAGTGACAGCA